GAGACAAGATTCATAACAGTGAAAAAGGGTGATATTCTGTTTTGAAATATTTAGAGATGCAGATATAATAATCATATTAATTATCAGTCCAACACTGAAGCATATTTTTCTGGAATAGCAAACATTTATTAGGATCAAAATAATATGATTTTTAGGGAAAATGTGAGTTTACACTGTCATATGCAAAACTTATAGCTATGATGACATTTTGCTTTAAAGAAAAAGTATCTCTGATCACTGTTTGTTTCAATATTGTGTAGGTACTCGTCTACCAGATATGTTATTGCTCTCTGCATTCCCGTAGGAACTGAGTGGTTCAGTGACGCAACTCTTTTACCAGACTTTTTAATGTGGCGATCAACTTCGGCTCGTATGAAAAAGGGAGCTTTCTCTAAAGACGTGTTCCATCCCGTGTTTGGAAAAGCTATCTTTCTTGGTTCAGGAAATGTAGAGTCTGAAGAAGAAGTCTTCGGATAGCTACTCTACGAAGAAAGACTGCATTTTCCTCTTTGTGTAAACGTTGTTTTCATCAGGATCATAGATAAGACCTTCGAGGCCTCTACTGATGTATTCGCCAACTCTGAGGAGTAAATGTGAACAGATAAATTTACGCGATCTATACAACAACTAGTTAATTGATAAACTACGGTTTTTAAAAGCTGGTCATAATATTCACGTTACTAAGTTGAAAGTTTTACTTCTATGTTTAACTGAACGATCGGGAAAACGTCGCGGAATCGCATTAGTCTTAAATTATAAAAAACTTACGGTTGGATAAACTACAAAAAGCAATGATTAATGGTCTTGATAGACAGGTGTTCTTCAAAACTGATATTTCATACAATGCTCAGATATAATACAGGCCCGAGGTTTGGTGTTTGCGTAGTGCTTTGCGAAGGAAGATTCGCGGAATCGCGTTACAAAAACTTGACCGTTTCACAAGCAAAGCGTTCGTGTGTAAACCTTCGCATGAGTCCCCGCGGCATTTCAACCAGAATTTCAATTCAGAATTCTTCAACTGAAGTGGTTTCCGTCCGTTTAAAGAGGATCCTGGCACATCTTCTTCGCTTAGAAAGCAAGGGCCGTAAACTACTGGCAGAGATGATAACGACGCCATTTTGTTTAGAGGCCCGACCGTCCTCGTTTTTATGTTTTTTTGAATAAATTAGAACCCATTACCTCACGGACATTTTGGGTATTGCATATGGTGTATACTCTAGCCATTTGTTGTTTTGTGTTCCGCTAATTGGCTCTGTGATATCACTCAGTTACATTCAATTTTGCATGAGATCCCCTCTGCGAAGTTAGCAAGTCTCACAGCAATAACTTACTGATAAGAAAAATTATCACATTGATAGGTTTGTTAAAAACCTTATTCACGGATGGCGTAAAATTACAAGATGGCAACAAGATTGAAATAATTTTCAGCGTTGAGTGACAATGTTTGAGTGTGTTTCATCTACATTAGTATCAGATTGCTTCCCGTCTTTGGCAAAAAACATTATAGATGTTGAGGAAACAGGAATAAAATCACAGAGATTGATTCCATCTTTTCTCACACGTTAGTCATTTAATATCCACAATCCACTCAGTATCTGAGCTAATGGAAGGTGATGGGTGGCGAGATCAATAGTACTCTGGCAGTCTCTCAAAATAACTTAGAAAAAAATCTGTCATCTACGAAAGATTAGACTTGGAGATAAGGACAATGAAACCCGACTTCATCTTCTATTTTACTGTACTAATGAACTAAGAGGGATATGTCAATGTATTACAATATACACTACTACTCATAAAGTGCATTCATTTTACATAAAATTAATGATGAAATTTCTCTCCAGGAAGGCAGCTAATTAGAACAGGTGAAAACTTACTTTTAAGAATTACTTGAATACTCTGTACAATGAGGATGAACTTAGCAGTGACCAGCCTCAGGCCGGTATAAGAAGAGGAGTAAGACTAGAATTGGCTAACAACCCAATCATAATATCATTATACTCCTATGGAGTAAAAGGCAAATATCATTGATGAAATACCATTAAAAAAACAACAAATGAACCTTTGTCACACACACTGACCATACAAGTGAAGGTGCATCATCATATTCTTTTTTCTTTGGGAAATTTTCATTGTTTGACAAAATAATACTTTGTAAAATTTCCTTAAAACTTCATCGATTCTATTTTATATGCAATAATAATTCTTATATATTATTACTATTAATTTCTTTGTTCTCTTCACATTCCCCAATTTCATTTAACTGTGTGTCTATATGTTGTAGTTCAATTTCCCATCCATTACTGTGGGTCACTGTTTTCAAGCTTTCTTTTCTGTGCAGCTATAAGTGACTAATTTTTCTAATTTTTTTTCATCTAAAGTAAAATCATCTGCTGAGTAGATTACATGGGTTAATTAAGCGAAACAATTTCTCACTGTCACTCTTCTATTGGGTTATTACAGACAACTGTTTACACGGCAGACAACACAATAGCGTTTCCTTCTTCCTTTTCTTTCTGCTGATTATCTTCACTTTGACATTCACTTCTTGTAATTGTTGGTGTAGTGAGCTTCTTCCAACGCTGTAAGGAAAAATGGAACCTCCTTAGTTTTTGTAGTTGAAAAATTGTTAATGTGGCAATGATAGTTTGGGCATAATTTTAATGTTTCATAAAAATGCAGATCTGAAGAAAAAACTAAAAAAGATAAAGAAGGATTTTAATAGCTCAAAAATAAACACTTTTATTTCAAACTTAACTTACTTATAATATGTAAAATTAACCAGATCATTAAGTGCATTAATATCCTTTGTTCACTATTGAGTCAGACAAAAAAGTACTTCTTTGGAAGATAAGTCTAATGCGATTAATTAATTAATTGTAAGTGTCTCCTTCTTGAACTCCCTACGTTGCAGGACGAAGCAATAGGTAAAGGAAATGTTTACAATCATTTCAGTCTACAAACCACCCACAGGTTACGGGCAGGTTGCTAACAGGTCACCAACTATCAGGTCATCAACCGCCAGTCAACAGTCAGCTGACAGCATATTTTGGGAATAAATGTTCTTCACTTTTGCCAAATTTTTCATCTGTCTCAGCTGTTTTCTTTCCATTTGTCACTTTTAAATTGCTTGGTCGCACAATTGATTTATCACAACACTTGACATCCTTGCCCTAGAACGTTATGATATCACCAACAACAAAATATCTCATGACTCTTTTGTTTAGATACCTCTCCAAAAGTTCCTTTAGTAGTGTACAGCTTCACAATCATGTAAATAGGAATGCACAGAATGGATGCCAAAGCCATACACCAACCAATCACCTGCCCCCAAGCAGGGTATTTAAAGTTATTGTACTCCAGGGGCTTGTATGTCACCAAGCTGAATATAAATACAGCCTGAAAATGAATTGAAAATATGAGCCAGAACCTACACTACAGTAGAGATGCCAAATCTTAATGTTATGGTTAAGGACATGTTGTGTACCATATAGGAAGTGGTTATTATCAAATATTGAATTAAAAAATTTGTGCATTTGCCTAAGTTACCCATTCAGGCAACTTCAAAATTATTGGCCTATGTAACTTTGCCTAAGTTACATTCAGCCAACTTCTTAGAGATGACACTATTTAGATGTTGATGTTGTTCAAGTTTGCTGCTGCAGACAGCGTTATCTGATCCCCATAGGTCCCATCTCGGACCACATGAGTTAAATAGTGATCCCAGCCAGCGAATATCATCTGCCAAATGCTCCAAAAGAGGGAGCCCACCGTTTTCACATGGATTACTTTTACAGGGCCTCACAGAATACCACTCCCCAGTGATGTGAGGCCCCTGTATTAAGATTGTCATTATTATTATTATTATAAAATAATCAAGAATTAACAAAAATAACATCATTTCCTCCAGTCTTTCAATTGTAAATAACCTTTAATTAATGATTGTTTTAAAAGTACTCACCAGGCAGAAAAGTGGTGTAAAATACTTCCAACACAACTTGCTCCAAGGGTTGATGCGAAATCCAATCATGGACTCCAAGTTATCATAGAATCTGTCTCCACCTGACCAACAGAGACAAACAAACACAGACTAAATCATATTTAATTAATCTTCGATAGATGCATGTCTTTCTTCCTCCTCTGACTCTTTGTATATTCATGCGTTTTATGATGTCACTTTTTCCAATCATGATAACATCATGCAAATTAACTTTACAAAAGTTTTTTTAGCTACTAATAGTGAGCCTTGATTTATGGCAAAGTGGAGTCAGAGTCTCTTTATCACAACTGCTTTCCAATTGTTGTCTACCTTTAGCTTCCACCTGTAACTGCATTAAGAAATTCAACTTTGAAAGGCTATAATTAATTAGGCTTTGACCAGTTGTTTCAGGAAAACTTGACAGGTTTTGAATCAGTCCAGGTGTGGGTGAAAGATCTCCAGGTTTCTGGCCTCAATTTACATTTTATATAACATTCATATCACTGACCATAGACCCAGCCAACAGCAATACTCTGAAAGAGTGACACCCATAGTAGAGCACTGCCACTGGCAGAATATGTGTCAAATAACTGGAATACATACATCCCACCCTAAAAACCAAAAGAAAAACAAATGTCATTGTTCAACAAACATTCACTTCAAAATAATTATTCAACAGAAACTCATTAATACATTTTTAAACATTGTCAAGCAACTAAAAAGGTGTAATCAGATACATCAACAATTACTTTTACTTTTATGTGCCATTTTAAAAGAATCACATTGTAGAAACCAATAAAAGTCACAAATAAACTTTACTGTAAATTCCATAGTGCAACAGTTACCTCAGAAACCATTGACAGACCCACTAAAAACCAGAAAAAACAGCATATGGCAATGAAGATTTCCTTGCGGTAACCACGTCTCAAATAATGAGGAAACAGGTCCACAATGGCTGTCACAAAACCTTCCACTCCAACAAACTGTAACAATTAAAAAAAAAGCCTGCTGTATTTGAAATAGCTTCTCACTGTTTAAACAATAGAATACATAACTTAATTATTCATGAAGTGCAGGCTTCATTTTTCATGATAATTTCACAACTCTACTTTTCATTAAAGTTAGCTTCAATTTCCAGCTGCATGCTTGTGTGTACCTTTAGCACTTAAATTAAGACAAGCTAAATCCCTCAGACAATTAATAAGTTTGGGTAGCTAATATTAATACCTCACTATCAAGTCCTAGTAAGATCACCATGAAAAAGAACAGGATGGACCACAAAGGGGCAACTGGCATCTCTGCCACTGCTGCAGGGTAAGCAACAAATGCCAAACCAGGACCTGATACAACAATCATATAAATCAAAGGTTTGTAATCATGAATTTATTGTGAGCTTCATGCTTAAAGGATCACATTCTTCCAATGTTAGATGAGCAGTCCTAGCATGATACACACATGATGGTTTGATTACTCTCCACCTAAACAACTGATCACTATATACTGTCAAGTTCTGTTTTTGTTTTGTCTTTGGTTTTTTTTATATCACCTCTCTGATCAGGACAGAAAAACATGCGAGGATTTGTAAGGAACTTATCATACAATAGCTTTCATGTTTGTGGCTTAATAGTGATCAAAGTTTGTTTATTGCAACACCAGGATTCTAAAAGGGATGACCTAAAAGCTGGAATGGTGGAATGGTGGAAAATGACCTCAAATCCTAAAACACGGAATGGCCGAAAATGACCCCAAATCCTATTTGTCTTTAACTGAGTGGTATAAATAATAATGAACCATTATACATAAAAGATAGCTGCATCTTGGCATTGTAAACCTGTTTAGTTACCTTTGTTATGCTAAATTTGCCACAAGTTTTAGTTGTGGCATAAAAAGTCACACAGCATGTGAAAACTAACTTGACATACCACATTACAATAAACAATTGTAACTTTTATACATTTCCTGGTCACGCCTGCATTGATTTAATGAAACAAAAATATCTCAAACGTTTGTAAATGTGAGAACATCACAGGAACATTTTCAGGCTTCTCAAAGTATAATGACGTTAGGCCCCAGCCTTAAACTTAGACTACCTTGAGAGCAAGCCCTCCTTATGAGCCCTTCAGTACAAGCGTTTCTTTGTCCACGAATAAGTTTTGGGCCTTGAGTAACACTAGGTGAAGAGAAGTTTGCAGGGGGTCACACACATGGTAATTTCTCATGGAGTGAAAAGACAAAGAATTACATTTCCCCTTCAGGAAGGGCAATTTAAACACCATAGAGTTGACGATTTGCAATTTGTCGAGGAACAGAAGAAATCTGCTAAACAAATTGGTGAAATAGCCTCTTTTTTGTCCACAAAGTTTATTTCTTCCACTGATATGTAAGCTGTAAATTTCATAGTAGGATGATGGTGTTTTGGACACCTTGATCTCAAAGAAATTCTTTTAATTCTTCTTCACAGCTTCCTTCTGCTAACTTTCTTTTGTCCTTTCATGCCATGAGAAATTCCCACGTACATGACCGCATGCAAACGTCTATTCACATAGTGTAACTCAGGTCCAAAATTTATTTGTGGATGAAGAAACACTTGTATTGAAGCATTCGTAATGAGAGCTTGCTCTCACGCTAGTCTAAGTTTGGAGCTGGGGCTGGACGTTGTTATATTTTGAGAAGCCTGAAAACATTCTTTTGATGTTCTCATACTTAAAAGTATATGAGATATTGTTTCATTATATAACTCAATGCAGACATGACCAGGAAACATATGTTTCAATTGTTTATTGTAATCTGGTATTTCAAGTTAGTTTTCACATGCTCCAAGACTTTTTATGCCGCAACTAAAACTCATAGCAAATTTAGCAAAACAAAAGGTAACTAAATAGGTTTACAATGCCAAAATGCAGTCATCTTTCATGTATAATGGTTCATTATTATTCATACCACTCAGTAAAAGACAAAAAAATTAAGAACATTTAATTTTAGTCACGCGTGTTATCGTCATAGGGATGAATGAGCCAAGCACTTCAGTTTCTTTGTACAAAATTCATGCAACATGCCCTGACGTCTGTTATGTGACTGTTTTAGAATCTGGGGTCATTTTCCGCCATTCCATGTTTTAGGATTTGGGGTCATTTTCTGCCGTTCCTTGTTTTAGGATTTTGGGTCATTTTCCGCCGTTGCATGTTTTAGGATTTGGGGTCACTTTCTGCCATTCCATGTTTTAGGATTTGGTTTCATTTTCCGCCATTCCACTGTTCCGGCTTTTAGGGTCACCCTTCTAAAAGTTTTGGCAAACTAGAAACCTTAAAAGTCAGCATAGAACTGCAGGCCTTTCTCTTCCTAAAGTAGGTGGTCACAGCAGGGGCGTAGCCAGGATTTTTCAAAGGGGGGGTCACAGAGGCTACTCACCATTTACAACGCTGTTCTCCTGCGTGTATCAGCAGGCTCAGTCGTATCATTGCCGCATGAAGACTCATATCAATGGCTTTTACGGCCAAGATATTGTCATGACGTTTTCGCCACCTGAATATTGTAGGTTCTTTGCTCTAAAAAAGACCTACCAAGGGGGGGTCACGGGCACCCCAGGACCCCCCTGGCTATGCCCTTGCACAGGAGAGTGGGGTGGAATTCATATTTATTGATTTGTAAATTGTGTATTATTTTTAAGTGTAATTTAGCAAACCTAGCTGAAGAGAGTTTGTAATTAAAAGTAGTAACCACCCTAACATGGATATTAATAGTGTACTGTTTCCTCTAAAGGAAATGGAATAAGATGACAACTGACACCTCAATTAAGGCACATATGAATTATTTATAGTAAAGTTATCAAACATAACAAATAAGTAGTTTTGACCTCTTGGCCCTTATCTTTGAGCCATTTTGGCATTATTTCCAGCAAGATTCTCCACAGGCATAGCATATCTTCAAACTCTTTTCTTTTCTTTTTCAGAAATTCCATCTGACAAAATATGCTGCATAGTTATAAGGACTATATAACTCAACAATAATATCAGAATTGCTATGGTAAAATGTTCAAAGATCTGTTCCTTTAGGCTTTCAGAGTAATTTTGTGGTTTACAGATCATAACTACCTGATTTGGCTACTTCTGCCACTGGCACACCTTGCTTCTGTGCCATAAATCCAAGAATTGAAAAAATGACAAACCCTCCATACAAACTAGTCCCACTATTAACACAAGCAAAGATGATACAATCCCTATAAAAGAGACAAATTAAAATAACAAGTCAAAAACTTTTCCCAGTATGCAATTTACAGCAGGGCTACCAAACTTTTGGAAGTGACTTTGGTTGCATAAACAGCCATGCAGCTTTTCAATGAAGGCTTACTACTTACAATGGATAGCAAAGGAGAGCTGGCTCATACTTTGCAAAAGAACACAGATTAAAAAGAATATTTCTTGGAAATGTTGAATTACCTTAAGGTAACTTACTTTAGACAATGAATAATACTTCTACTTAAAACTTTATAGCTTCATCCTTTTAAAAATAAATTAATACCCAACATATTACACAATGTATCATTAGATACCTGTAGCAATTTGTTCTAAACTTGTTATAGCTTCCTAGTGCTATAAGAGTTCCAAGACCAATAGAATAAGAAAAGAAAACCTGGGTTCCAGCATCTAGCCATACCTATATGCACAAGAAACAAGATCACATACCTCAATTAAATACCTTTTAATTGGTGATGGGCAAAGCTTACAAGCAATATGGGGATTTGATATGCAAATTTTGTGGTATCAGAGCATGGCCTTAAGAGTCTGGGGAGAGGATACATCTTAGCAGTGATGGTGGTGCAATTGTTAAATTTGGCAGAATAATACGGAAGTACTTTTGTGAAAATGGTGGCAAATTCTGTGTTGGCATGATGTACAGTGGAATAACCCATTAATCAGAATCTTATAAACCACTGACAATTCCTTCTTTGAGCTTACTGTCAACAAAATCTGGTCAGAATTTTCAAATTTAATTTTTTTTTTTAATTTTAGTCAGAAAGCAGTTACGTTTAATTTAACAGAAACAAAATATAACAATAATCTTTAAAAGAATGTGAGATACGGCTGAAAATTTTTTTAGGGAGAGCAAAAGGTGTCAACAGACATGACAACCTCTGGAGATATCAAATCTGGAGATTTTTTTTCAGACCAGCGCCTCCCCCCTCAAACAAACTTGCCAATGTGATCCAGAAAATTTCTTTTTTGATTTGGACCTCCAACCTCCCCATGATTTAGATTCAGATTGTGGACCTTCAAGTATCAGTGGGCATGCCAAGCAATTTTGCGGGAAAAACGTGGATCTGTTTGTCAGGGACTTCAATTGGTTGAATACCTATACAATCAGACTCTCCCTTATATAGGAATAACAAAGAAGAAACTCTGTTCTTTTTGTTTGCGATTAACAATGTGCATCACACAAGAAAATGAAGCCAGAAACCATAATACAAGCAGAAGTATTGCTCCAGGTAATTTTGGAACATATGGTGCTTAAATCTTAGTTTTTTTGTGGGCAACTGATCCAAACTTCCTTTTATGTGGGAGTTTTGGTCACCCATATGGGAGAGCGGGAGATTGGCTCGGTATCCGGGAGAGTTAGCATATATGTGTCAACAAATTCGACAGGTTTTCATCTACAATCTTGATTTGCATGTTTTGTTTACATTGGGTTCCATGTGTTTAAACTGAGTTTCTATTCATCCATCTATTTGCAGCATAATAAAATTAAGACAAGTAAACAAACAAAAAAAACAGCAATGGGTCAGCAAATAAATCCAACTGGTGCCATTGTTTTGGAAAATGTAATAAGCTTAAATATTTACTTTTTGCAGAACTCAAAATATTGGGTTTTGTTCATCATATGGAGCTTTTCATCTTCCCGTTAAAGGACTCATTACACAGCACTAAAACCAAAATGGAGAAACCGGTAGGACTGAGAGCCCCCTGCCCCCCAAACAATTGGACTGTGTTGAACTGTGATAATAAGAGAGCTGGTAAGCTCGAAATGCAGTAAGATTTGTAGATCTAAATGACTTACCATGTTTATAAAGTATTTTATTTGACCAACATGATTTTTACGGGTATACTCCATTTAGGTACTCCTTAGAGTACTCCATGGAGTAGGGCTTGTTTTGTCATCTCCCTACTCAATAAACCCTCATTACGTTCTAGTTTGCTTCGCTCAAACGAACGTAAATCATTTTACCCTTAAATTCCTGTAATATAAACAGATCACACGAGAAATATGGTAGGATGCACAAGCGGATCCAAAACACATATGAACTTACCAAGTAAAGAGGAGGCTCTTTTTCTTACTAAGAAAAAGCTGATTATCAGCGCCCTAAGCAATTCTTGGTTTCTTTCCACGATTGCTGGAGAGTTGTTCCTTTTGGCATCTCTTGTGGCTCACGGCTTCCCTTGCCTTCTTAAGACGTTTTGATCTTCGGAGCCGAATGCAAGTTCATCTGACTCCTACTCGGCTGCAACCTGCCAGCCGTCCTTACTTTTATCAGCGATTTTTGTCAGCTTCTGATGCTTTCGAATATGTTGGCTGCCTTCTTGGGAAAGTTTCTTGATTTGCAACAAATTTGGTTCGATGCTTTCACTTTTGGTTTCAATGCTTTCAAAAATGGTATCTAATTTGGCATTAAGCTCAAATTGTTTCTGGTTCCCTTTGAACTTTAGCTGTACAACTTCTTTATCTAGCTTACTCCTTTGTTCGATTTGCTTTCCTTTATGTTCTAATTTTTTCTCAAGAAAATCTTTAAACATGGAAAAGACTTGATCAGTGGCTGCTGAGTTGCCTCCACTATGACCTGAAGATGTTTGGCCTACTTCAGCTGGAACAGATGAACCCTCACTCTGTTTCTAGTCGTGGGGGCATCTCACGAATAGGAGAGCGTAAACCAGAAAGATGAATAAACTTATGGAACCGCAAGCGTGAATGGTACTCAAGAGTCAGTGAAAAGTATAAGTACTAATAACTGGCCAATCAGGACATACATGCAAAACAGAATGCACAATAGTGGGTGTGGCAGGTGTGAAATGAAAACAACCACAACTAATTACTTGGAATAACAGCAGAAAATACATTTTTTTTTTGCAAGATGATCTGTAACATGGAGGAACAATGACTACTGTGTTGATGAAAACGGTGCCAAGATAAAGTATTGTCAGTAACTTAAACCACTGAACCACTTGAGCAGATTTAAGGTACTTCATACGACAGATGTTCCCCTAGCCTGGTTGTAACTTTCCTCTTTTTCCTACAACTTACCAAATCCAATTGATATGCAAAAAGACTGCTTTCAGTCTAAAACAATGGCCATCATAGATGAGGTATAAATTTCTACATTTGCTGAAAGTACTGGGAAAGGTAGAATAGCTGTAACCAGTAACAGGCTAAATTACCTGACCATCAGCTAGGCGGGTAAAATTTGGATTGAGATAAAACTTGATTCCCTCTCCTGCTCCAGGTAGTGTTACAGCACGAAACATTATAATGGTCAGCAACACATAAGGAAAAGTTGCGGTAAAATATACCACCTAGGAATTAAATGAGATGTTGTCAGCTCAGTTCAGTTCAACATAAACCTCTAATAAGAAAATTGCATGCTGCTTTTAAGCAATCATATTGGTTTCGTTATTCAATAATGAATTCCTACTTGAGCTGCCTGACTTTTTTGTCTCTTGAAACTGGTATCACATTAATCCCCAATTATATTTCAATCAACATGCTGTGAGCATTTTGATCTTGACTACTAGTGAAATGTGGTTCCATCCTTCACTGCCTTGGTTAATTGGGACATGATTTCATAAGGGTTTTTTTTAATTTGTTCTATTAAAGAATGAGTTACGACATTGCTGATCCTTGCAGTATGCAGGACGCATGTCCTATATGAACTTTGTAATGGACCTTGCTCACCAGTGACTCAGTGGCTCAGTGGTAGAGCATCGGAGCGCAGAATCCATAGGTCTGAGTTTGATTCTCCATGAAGACTCAATTTTTTTCTTTACCCCACACCCATGACAAGACAAAAAACTTATTTCTTTATTTCTTAGCTGAACTCACAACTTACCATCTTTCTCATTCTAATTACAATGAAGCATGTTATTCTTCACCTTATATGGGCAATTAAAGAAGTTGGAAATTAATGAATATTAATCAAAACTAAATAATCCATAAAGCTTAGAATTATCTTAATTCAATTTTATCCGGATGGATCTAATTGCCTGTAATTGATTGTCTTTCTTTCTGACTACAGGCAAAGAATCAATTCCCTTTGTTAGGTATCAAAATCTACATTAGGCAGTCAGAATAAAGAATGAATAAAGTCTACCTAAAAGATTACAGAAGGATAAAACCATGAGGCAGGTATAAATTACTATAGTATTTAACTAATTAAGACTTACTCTGCCAGTAGACTTTACACCCTTCCACACACAAAGGTAACAGATTATCCAACCAAGAAGCAGACACAAAGCAAGATCCCAGTTTATTATTCCTGGTTCATCAAGACCACCACTTATACGCAGAACTCGATAACTGAAACAAATTATTACAAAAAGACAGTTGCTCCCAAGAGCTACAGCTAACTGAAAGGTAAACACAATAACCATGATTATATATTTGCAAAATATGAAACTAAGGACCCCTGAACATCAGAGATTGATAATTTATAAACTATTTTAAAGATGTCATTATATATGATGCTCATTAACCAATACCAGTAATACCACTGCTGATTGTAATTTAAACCTATCAAAAGGCATGGAACACTTATGCAGACATACTCTAAATATTCTTGGCTGGAAGAAACTTTTTGAAGAGTTGCATTGGATGAAGCATTTAAAGTTGCATTCAGCATTCCCACTGCAGAAATATTCTGCCCATTGCTATCTGAAGAACTTGGGCCAGCACCACTTAAATCAACACACTGCGGTGTATTCCAGGGATTATCACAATGAGACCATGGCAACTTGGAAGTAAATGATGCAAACAAATAGAACAAAGCCCAGCCAAGGATAACTATGTAGTAAATGTTGAGAAACTGTACTATGACAACACTGGCATATCCAATACCTGCAGCCAAAACAATTAAATTTCTGTTTAATGATGTGGCTCATGCAGAAATCAAACATTTTCACCCCACTAGGGAAGCTCTGTCCACTTTTTTCCAAAGCTGAAAGGTATTAATTTTAAATTGGTCATTTAAAGTCATGAAAATGAAACCAGGCCAAGAAGAGGATATAACACCTTTGTAGAATGCCAGACCATGCAAAGGAGCAATCAAATATCAGAATGAAAACCCAAAGATAGTTACTATATCCTTCAGCATCATAGAAATCTGGAATCAAATAATTGTTTCCACAGCAAAATCATTATTAGGCTCAAATAACTTTTTTTTGGCTCTGCATATGGTATCATCATTCCCACTTACTGATTTGAATAAAAAGAAGATTAGTAAATGATATTCTTGTCATAGACTACTTGTTATTGTATTTCCACAACAGATAACAATAATGGACGGATGCAAATCTAACCACAGTTACTGTATCACTTTGAAAGTATATCATCATTCAACAAACCAAGACATGAACTGTTATTGCATGATGCTACACCTCGCTATCACATTCTATTGCTCTCTTGCATGATTGACAAGCCTACTTGTTTTTGTTGTATGGACATATTGAAAAGCCTTTTGTCTCCCCCATTGACATGCACAACCCTTTCACTCAAAGAAAAGCAAATTACAATACCTTGAAACAAAGGGCAAATCTTCCATGCTGTGATACCTCCCTGACTTGTAAACTGTCCCAATGAAACCTCTAGGATAAGGATGGGAACTCCCGCAAGCACCAAGCAAATCAAGTACGGAATAAGGAAACATCCTACAGGGTAAGTCAAAATTACTGTCAGCTTAATAATTAACTAATGAATAGCAACACATATTAGTTTTCAGCTAATAACACCCTTCCAGACAGTCATTTGTTTAGTTTTAGAAATGTAACAAAATAAATTTTACACAACAAGCCATAATATAATTTGGATCATATTTTCACTAACTAGCCTCAAGTGATACACTGGTCGATGTTGGCTTATAAGTGATTGATATTAGACAATTATTGGATTTGGTTGGGCATGATATCAAAACCCAGGTCTGACTTATCTGCTTAAGCCCAAGTCTGAGGCAGATAACACATACAGAAGGTTTGATAATTCATGTTTTAAAACATTAGACTTACTATGAAACTCTGATTGGTACCATAGCTTGTGAACTTGACGCAATAACCCAATCTGTTGCAGATATTGAGTTACATGTCAAGTCTGTCTAGTTTCCAGGCTCCTCGTGTTTATGAACTTTTGCAAACTAGGAGAGGAGTGTCTTCTTTTGCAGATTGTTTAGTATAATGCAAAAACCAGTTATAGACATTTATTAAACCGACTTCAGTAATTGTTTTTGGTGCACATTTTTATTACTCGAATTTCATTCAATTTTTCTCTTATTTGACTAAATTGAAGGCAAACATTTTACCATAGTAGAGGGGACTGGTTAGGAAGCTCAGCTAACTTCACAGAATGCCTCTGTTGTTAGGCATTCAAACTTGAACCTACCGTCACTGAAGCATGACAGTGCACACAGTTCAAAACAACATTGCGGACTTCAGTGATCTCTATATCTTTGATGCTATTTTAAGCATTTTAGAAGACAATGACCTAGAAAATCATTTTACTGAATGCTCTTACAAATTAAATGTAAATTTTTTTAGGTTGAACAAGAAGACAAGGAGTGGACGTTTTGTCAAAAAATTTGCAAAAGTAAGGCTGGCTTGAAACGACACATGACTGTAAAGCATCCAGCTGATAATTCCAGCCAAACTGAAGCCAGCACAAAAAAAACATTTGACACCAGAAGTCTATTCTAGTGTAATCGAAAAAGCTAAAGATAAAATAGCAAAAAACAAAATATACATGGCAAAGATGAGAGAAGAAGTGAGCTCCTTCGCTGTAAATCGAGTAAACACTTCCACTGCAGAATTTTCTCTGCTTCAAGAAATTTATAAGACCCTTGCACGGACTGGCAACACTGAGAAGTTTTATGCTGAATTTTACTCGACTGTTGTCTACAGGTCAAACAACTATTTTGGTAATTTGTCTGAAGTTACTGCAACATTGTTGTCAACCAAGGTAGCTGACTTTCTATTGGTGCACAGCAAAGAAAGCGAAGATGGTGTAGCAAAGGGGACAAAAGAAAAACAAAAACTCTCAAATATTGAGCTATCTGGCTTGCAGTATATTGGTGGATATGTGCTCCATAATTTACCCAGAAAATTAACTCAAGCGAAAGTAAAATCACCTGAAAATGAGCAAGCTATGTCAGTCCTGAAAGCTGGAAAAGCAGAAGACAACTTGCTGGAAAACCACAAGCATATCAATAGTCTTAACCGTGGTGGACTATGGGCTATAACCAAAGATGCTCAGCTTATATTTGAACAATCAGAATACTAGGTTAGACTTGCTACTTGGAATTCAACATCACATAAGATAGATTGCAGTCGTATTGTTTCAAGAGCTGTAGTCGATGTTGATGTTGTCGCTGCGTACAATTCCTTGCTGTCTAATAGTGAGCTTGTTGTGCCAAGCAGTGTTGCTGAAAATGTATTGCACAACATAATTCAGCTATATACAAGGGTGCGTACTTTCTCATTTGCAAAGGACATCATACAAAAACATAAAGTTGAGGCAAAGCAGCTGAAATCCAAGGCATTGCACAAAGAAATAAATAGAGCTTCCAAAGCTATTGATCAGAACCAGGGTTAACACTGTCAGGACAGACAAGCTATTAACCCTGGTAAGCTTTATTTTAAATTCAATAAGTACATTAACATTTACTGCTTGTCTGTGCATATTTCAAGACTACATAGTTCAAATGCTATGAAAACAACCAATAAGTTCTTCATATTGTTTATGGACAACACACAATAAAATATTCCAGCACTGAGAAATAGTAGTTACATTTTGTTGGGTGAACACTTTCAAGAGTGATTTTATAAACCTGTGAAACAGTTATAGCATAGTGTAATAATTAGACTAATAATGTATTGAGAATAGGTTACAAATATAGTGTGTTTTACCACCTTTGATTTCACAGGTCTTTGAAAACCTTTTTAATTACACTAACAGGGTTCTCATAAAGTGCCNGTAATGCATGGCCAGAGAGGGGTGCCAGTGCAGTAAAGAACGTTAAGACTCGTCTAAGAAGCAGGCTCCAAAATGACATGCTGCAAGGAATACTAGCTGTGGGAATAAATGGACCAGGTGTCCAGAGCTGCTTGCCTGTTGTAAAGGAAGCTGCCAGAGTCTGGCTTGAGGCAAAGGAGAGAAGAAAACTTCCAAAGGTACCAAAGTCAGATAATCCTACTTCAGAGCCATCTCTGGTGATTGTCCAGTGTGAAACAAAGGAAATGGGAGTGCAATGTGAAAGGGAGGAGACAATTGCTGTTCAGAGTGGTACAGCTGCAGATAGAGAGCATGAGGAAAATGTGAATGAGTAAGACCTTAATGACGTTCTAGAGGCCCTTAATCTGCAATCAAAAGGTTCAGAGAGTGACACTGACTACAACTCTGACTCCGCTTTTGGATCTGACAACGATGACTCTGCATTTTAGTTCTTTCTAGCATGGCCAAATGCTGAGTCAAGCTAACTCTTTGTTAATAATTGTTTCAACCACTTTTGAGAGAATGAAACTAATTCAAATCAATACGCACAAACAGTGACAAAAGGAGTTTCTATTTATATATTTTCTGCCTTGAATGGCCTTGACATTCTATAAAACCTTTCCCTTTTTGGGGTGTAGTCTGGTCCCATTATAAGGATTCCAAGAAAAGAAAGATGTTCAGTAAAATTTATGGTTGTTTCTAATGAATAATTATTTCTTAAAACCAAATTTGCTTGCCAAAAGGCTCAAAATGGCAAATCTAACCTTCTATATTTTGAAGTTTTTCGGAGGGGGGAGGGGAGGGGGCATGCTGCAAGACCCCCTTAAAGGCTTGTGCCTGTGGTACTCGCTTCTCCCGCCGCCTACTTTTATATTTCAGCCGTCTACATCAAAACTTACGGAGAACCCTGCACTAATCTTTTGGCTGATCTTTTAAGCACTGGTTCACCACTTACATTTACCCAGGCTTTTCTTTTATCTTTCCTACCAGGCATGTTTCCACTTTGACATGAAACTGATCTCTGAATACGGATAGTATTATTATTATAGCCGAATGACCTAATATTTGGATTGTTGTTTCGTCTCCCTAATTTCCTTTGGTTTCCAAAGTAATCCTCCAAGCTGTCTTGGCAAAACCTTTCTGTGAGCACATACTGCATACCCTTGCCAAGGAGAAACCTATAAATACAAATATATGTAAATACAGCTTCTTTCTATTTTGTATCAAATTTGATTGATATCACAGGAGATGCAATAACGTCAAACTTCTAAGTGTAAAGAGTGGTTTGCAAAAATGAATGAAATAATATACTGATACATAACGAAATCAATGTATTTATTTTGCAAATCACTCTGCTGGACAACTTCTGTCCTTTTTGTATCATATTTGATTGATAATATCATCACAGGGGATGCAATAATGTCAAGCTTCTTAGAGTAAAGAGTGGTTTGCAAAAATCAATGAAATAATATACTGATACATATCAAAAGCAATGTAATGATTTTGCAAACCACTCTATGCTGGACAGCTTCTGTCCATTTTGTATCATATATGATTGATAATATCATCACAGGGAATGCTATAAGGAATGAAATAATATACTGATACATATCAAAATCAATGTATTGATTTTGCTAATCACTCTGCTGGATAGCTTCTATCCATTTTGTATAATATTTGAATGATAATATCATCACAGGGGATGCAATAATGAATGAAATAATATACTGATACATATCAAAATCAATATATTGATTTTGCAAATCACTCTGCTGGACAGCTTCTGTCCATTTTATATCATATTTGATTGACACTAACGGTAGTCCACTAGCCACAGACTAGTAGAAATTCAGTTTTGGCTAGTGGTTTTCAATTTCCACTGGTCAGTTTGGTTAGTAAACAGACTGTTTTGTCGTAACATCTAAAAACATCTGAGATGTCACAAGCCACTTGGCTAGTAAGTTGAAAAGTAGTGTCGAGCCCTGATAATTATATGCTTTTTTGATCGTCATTTGTTATGATATTGCAGTTAGAAGGTAAAAAAAGCTAAATACTTACATATTTCTATGTCCTCAGGCTTGAAATGCTTTTCACAAGTGTATACCTTGTCGTTACTGATTTGGTTTTAAAAGTTTTTCTCGACAACTCGGTATTTTTTTTAGCTCGTTGAGCCAGGCTTCCCGCCATTTTTCGCTTTTAATTTTAGCTGTAGGCAGCTTTCAGATGCCAATTCTTTTCAAACGGCGGCATGAACCACATCCTACAACAGAGCAGTTGTCTCCTGGCATTTCACTTTTTAGGATTCTCGATAATTCGATCTGAATTTAGCGCTACTGCCTTCACAAAAGACAGCTTTACACGACTGACATGCCTATCGACCATCATGGAAAGACGCCATCTTAACTTCTTGTGTGCACGGTCGTGTGACGTCACGAGCGATAAACTTGAACAAGAGTTACTTTCTTTAGTTCGCCGACCTTCCCAACCAGTCCCCTCTACTAACTATGATTTTACCAAGAGCCATAATTGGGACCAATTATGGTCCCAATTATGGCTTTTGATTTTACTTAACGTTTCCGAAAAAAAAAAAAAAAAAACGTTTAGAAATCTGCAAAAGCGTCCGAATTATTTAGAAAAACGTATTTTCAAATAAAAGTTGATAAGTCAGGAAGGTGTCATAATCTCGTGCGTGGGCGAGCCCAGGCGAATATTCGCGGCAACGGCTCCTCTTCATCATTATTTGCATATTTTGTTTACATCGTGCACTTGACAAAATTCACACGTGGAAGCTCTTTTTTTTTTAGCTTGTGGAAAAATCTTTGCTCGTGGAAAATTCAAAAGCAGAAAAAAGTCCTTGGAAAAAAACAAACAAAAAACAAACAAAAAACAAAAAAAAAACAAAACAGACCCAAAGAAGAAAGAAGAGTACTGTCAAGAAAAGAAAAATAAACTCGGTCCAGATTTCGAACGAAGAAACCGCCGTTAAACCATACTTGATCATCCAGTAAAACGCGGTTTCCTTTATCTATGCAAGTACCGCCTTGATACAATGACATTTACAATCGCCTCGTATCGAAAATTTGAAAGCTGTCTGTCGATTCGCTATCTTGCTTCTCAACATAATATCCGGTTTTTCCATTTTAACCGCGGGTTTTTAGTTTGTCTTTTATTGTGTTGTCCTCCTCAACGCTTCAGTAAGCGATCAAGGTATAAAAAGGCGTGTCTGCAATGCGTTACTTTTCTCGGGAAACCTTCATCCATGATCATTGACGCCAGGAGGTCTCGTTGTTTCATTGGTTTGCAGTTTCAACCACCGCCTGGTTAGCTCAATTGGGAGAGCGCCGGACTGCTGTGCGGGAGGTCGAGAGTTCAACACCGGCCGGACCAACACTTAGGGTCTTAAAATTAATTGAGAAGAATATGCTTCCTTTCTCTAACATTAAAAAATCGTTAGATATTCTAGTCTTCTCGGATAGGGAAGAATAAATAGAGGTCCCGTCTCCTGCAGGGTTGGGGTAGGAGACGTTAATTTCCCATGCACGAGATTACTGTGTGATGGATGTCCTCAATGGGGTGGGNGACTAAACACGGCTGCCAGAGGCGCCTGTTTGATTTCAACCTCAAAATTGTAACAAAACATGTATGTTTTTTAGTGAAATAGAGACCTTTACCTTTTTACAGGCGGCAAGATAATCCCCTGGTGTGACGCAAGTTGTTTACTAACCTTTAGACGCTAAAATCTCGCATTTGATTTTGAGAAAAATACATACACTTTGAGCGAACTGACAGGGTATGTAGATTTGACCAATTTTCGTGAAATTTCGCCAGTGACCCTAATGACAGACTTGAGTGTGTCGGCAAATTTTTATCATGTGGCGTCCATTTACGGAACAAGTCTCGCATATTTTTGACGATAGCCTAACTTTAGATGCGGATATCTAGACAACAAATCAGAAAAGCCGCTGATACTTCTGTTGATTGATGCCTTGTGAATAGGACTATGCAGCCATTTTGCTCGTGCTGCGGAATCCGATACCCGATAAATCCAACACTGAGAAGGACCCCAGGTCGTTTCACGCCTTTCTGGCTTCTAAGACTTCCCAAATAGAAAAATCGTTTTCATTGTATTTTTATCGTAAACTACATTTATTAAGCTTTCTTCTGATGTACAGTTTGCTAGGAATTTCTTTAAACTAGCGCGCGTACGAATTTTTTTCCCGAAGGACACCCGCGAAGGTGGGAAGTAACCCTAAGTCTACAGCCAGGGCCTTTTTTAAACCTCGCGTCTGTGTTGTCTGCCTCAGAACTCAGACCTCGGCATTGATAATTGATGATGTCATGCTCAACCACATCCAATAACTGCCTAACATTGTGCGAAAATCGAATTCAATAATTGTTTTATTACACATTTGTTTATCACTCGAATTACCGACCGAATTGGACTTCACTCTGTGCACTTGTGCTGCGAAATCTTTCGCGTGATTACCGAACGCAAGTTTACAGACAGCGCCTTTTTCTTCCTGGTATCTAAAGAGAGTTTGCAATGTTACGGAGATAAAAATTATCACTTTCTAATGTTTCTACATTTTCAATTCTTGCAGTAAATGTGATCCCAAATCTCTCCATTATTGCGTATCTAGAGGGTGCTTGTACTCGTGAACGACCTTGACCCCTACCTGCTACTAGCAAGTTGTCTCGGACAAAAATCCAATAGTTTAAGTCTGATTGAAATCACAGAACAGGTTCCGTTTTGAGGAGTGATTCAAGTTTAGAGAGAAATGCCTAAGCCCGCTCGGTTGCACTCGTTGTTTCTTTGGGGAGTCTCGTTCAAATTGTAAGTTTTTAAAAGCTTGTTATGCGTAACTATTAATTGAAGAGTTCATTCGTTATAGCTGCTTACCTCCCCCGTTCTTGAAGCACAGGTATGGGAAGCGCCAAATGTTACCCAGGCCAACAGAAAACCCTATCAATGCAAGAATAAAATCGAGTTTTCCAACCCAAGTCTCGCGCTCGTTTTCGTTGGAGGCCATCAAGCTAAACTATAGCGGCTACCAATCTATGGCGGGAACTAACCTGCAGCGGAAATAACGGGTTACGCTCGGAATGCCCCTATCAAAACAGCGTTCCAAACATGAAACAGTACCTGAAGTAGATATGATTTCATTACATGACAAACACATGAACTACAGGGATTTTACACGTGTTCGCTGATACGTCTCATTTCACTCATCGTTAGTAAATTTCAGTCCTCAAGTATCTGTCACTAACACCAGCCAATCAGAAGAAAGGAAAAATAGAAAGTAAACCGTCGCTGAGTTTGTACAGTGTGCGGGAAAACCCACTGAATAATATTGAGAAATATGGGTGATGAGCTGAGCTCGATATCCGCAAATCATCAATTACACTAATGAACACATTTTGTCGTACTGCCTTTATAGTGATTTGAGACAAAGGAATGGAAACCACGGTACGGTGACGATATACGACCCTCAGATTCTCGAAATACATGGTTTTGAGGAGGGGTTAAAATGGATCGTTTATGATCAAGGAATTAGTTTTTTTTTCGATCGTTTTTACGCATGAAAATACGGTGACGTGATCTGTGAGTACTTTCGTTACAAGAACTCCAAAGTCGTTCATACACTTCTACTGATGTGATTTGAAGATTACGGGACAGATAACCCCCCGATGTAGGATTGACATTCGTATATTTTAATAGAACGTGCACACGCTTCCCTGGTGAAACAAAGAAACCGTTGGGGAAATTTTGAGAATTTTATCACATCTACAATAAGATTTTTCTAGTTATTTGCCATAAATCTTGAACCTTTAATTCTTCTTTGATTATTTTTGGCAGTCACAGAGGAAGAGCGATCATTAAGTCAGAGTTCACAAGCTCAAAGAAATGGTCAAGGAAGTGCTATTGTTAACAGTTATGTGAAACTTCAGTATTATATTTCTCAAAATCGTTCGATAATCACGATAAAACAGTTCTTCAGTTATCAACCAAAGTTAGCTAGGTTCATTTTACGTACACGTCACGACATTGACAAGATACCCATTTTAAGGGGGTCTCAGAGAGAGTAGATTGAAATGTTGGCGGCTATTTTTTTTCCGATTTTGATGGTTGATGGCTAAAATTTTAAAGCCCTTGACGGTCTTTGACAGTTAATAGAAAGATACTTCCTCTTTGTCCTCTAGGAGTTGGAATCGATATTAAATTACTCATTTTTTCACATTGAATCGGTAAGTAGTTACGTTTGCAGCTGGCCTTTAAGTTTGAAAAAGAAAATGTCCTCCACTTCTTGCGAAAGTCACTCAAGTTTGTTGATTCACAGGCGACCCAAGCGTGGTGTGTGTGATGCTGCGGTGTAAAGGTCATTAACGGGAATACCTAACAGATTAAGATCGAAGTTAAGCGTAAGCGTGGTGCTACTTGTCAACTGTATTTCTATATACAGTTGAAAAGTAGCACCACACGCGTTATAAAGAAAGTCGCCAAAATAGCGTTAAAAGGATTGTAAACGACAAAGCGGCTACGGAAAAAAGGTAAAGAGACTCAACACGCTACATTCCTCCCTTCTATTATCCGTTTAATTTTTCTTTCTTTTTTTTTTTTTCTTTTTAATTTTTCCTTTTTTTTAACGGCCCACGCTTACGCTTAAACTCGATCTTGATCTGTTAGATAGTCTTGTCGATGACCTTTAGACCCCAAAATCACACACTTGGGCCGCCTGTGGTTGATTGCTCAATATGTGCCTGGAGCTGATTGCACTAACAAATACGATATCTCCTGAGTAAATGAGTGATGATAATATCGATCATGATAGGTGGGTTGAACAAGATTATGACCACTATTCCTAAATTATAATGGGTCTTATGATACTCGAAAAGATTAAAGATGTGATCAGGCCCATTTTCCTCAAAGCACTGAATTAAAGAGTAAGATTAGAGATTGATCTGCCTTCTATACTCATATTTACAACAGACAGTACCATACTCTGAGCTGTTACCTGAATTTAAGAGGGCCTTTAACGCATAGTAGTCGGCAGACTCGAGTTTATTGATCACATTCCTATCGATCCCTCACAGAAGTGAACTACAGTATTCAAGGTGTAGCAGTTAATAAGCTTTGTACAGTTTAAGTGCAATATCAGTACCCAACAACTTTTTTGAGACGTCTTAGAGCTCCAATCTTGGCATAAACTTTCTTTAAAGTGGCTGATATGTGATCTTTATGTCAACATCAAGAGTTTTCAAGAACGATTTATTTTAATTGGAGAATCACAGATATAGAATCAGAGCTTGGATTGTCTTGCTATAGACTGTTTTAAGTGATCAGAGACGAACAAGGATGGTATAGCTTCTTCAGATCTTGGTTAAGAAAGAGTTAAAAAGCTGTGATGTTAGGATTACATGCATAAGCTGTTGCGTCATCAGCATGGAGCAGAAAAAAAGGCATTAAATGAATTTGAAAGATGCGAAATGTTCTTCCCTGCAAATGGAAACAGGGGTTTTAGTCTTTTCCAAAAGACTAAAACATTAGCATTTATTACAAAGGCTGACGTTTCGAGCGTTAGCCCTTCGCTCCGACGAAGGGCTAACGCTCGAAACGTCAGCTTTTGTAATCGTTACGGTGGCCAATTTACCATTTCAACTTTGTTGATATATCCAAATTACAACAAATGTTTAGTTTGAAAACGTAAGTTCCCGACATTAAAGGTGCAAACAACATGAACAGAACTATGCAGTCCTTACTTTATTTGCCTTGAACATAGTAATTCTCTAAATTTACATGAGTGAAGAGATTATAAATAGTTTATAATTCTCCGAAAGAACCCAATCCTGACACGGGCAGAGCAAAGCCCATTACAGCATTAGTCTACTTTTCACTCTTTCCTCCTTCTTTTTTTCCTTTCCCTCCCCTTTTTTTCGTTCGTTATTCTCTCTTAGGCGAATTGATTGAAACATAATCATTGGCATCCACTGTGATCAAGGCAGGTCGTCTACTCCTGTTCAGTTTGGCGATCTAGAACACCACCACATTCGAGGTCATCTTGATATCGCGTGAGTTTGCCACAGTTCATCAGTCAACAGTCATGCCTTCCTTGGGTTTTTGTCGCCCCTGCTGGTGAAATGGGTAAAAATGCAAAGGCCACTCCAGACAACTTCCCTCTCTTGGGAAGTTGTTTCTGATGGTGAAGAATAGAATTAACCTACAGGAAGGGCCGGCATACGTGGCTGGGATACTGGGTAATAAGGGGCAGAGTGAGTGTAGTGCTTGGCTGGCCACCGTCTTTGCGACTCACTTGAGAAACTCGGAGAGATGCACCTTAAGTAGCATACACACATGAATTGACAATCAGGAGAGAACTGCCTTCATCTTTTTAAATAGAGCATTTTCACAAATGGCTGCCGGATTCATATTCTTTTGTTTAAATTTAAATTAGCCCTTCTGGCCTCGCTTGAGATAATGTGTTCTTTTGAATTTTGTACTGGAGAACGAGGCCAGAAGGGCTAATTTAAATTTAAACAAAAGAATATTAATCCGGCAGCCATTTGTGAAAGTGGTCTATTCTAGCATCAGTTTAGCACCTCTTTTTTTTTCAAGGTGACTGCACGCGTAAACAGCTTCTAATTTCCATCCTACGCACTGAATTTATAACTAGAGAATTTGTTTGGAGAGCACGTAGCTCGTTAATTTATGGTAAAGAGTGGTACCTTGGGTACGCCCTTTCTTCTTCAACTTTTTTGTTTACCTCATTCTTGTGTGACTCTTTAAACGCCGATTTATCTTTTAATCTCTTATCAAGTGTACCTGTTTTTAGGTATGGAAATTTAGGAAGAACGTAATTTTGTGAAGAATCAACATCTCGTAGGAAAATACTTAATATGCAAGATCTACTTTACGTAACTGAACGTGATTCGCTACTGCGACATGAAGGACAATAAACAAAGATTGATCGGACGGCCCAGTCACTATCACCTTTAGAAACTGCCGTTAGTCTTTCAAGCTGCAAGTCATGTAAGGTTGTCTGAAAAGCTATTTAATATGAGTAATAGTTCATTAGTTACAAAATAATTGTTTAGTTACATGAACTGATGTGTTATCAGTTTACGTTCACACCAAAATTGTTCAGTCATAAGATCGTTTAACCACATGACACGTAGAAATCATGTCAGACAACAAAAGAGCAGGATCTGAAACCCCCGAGGACTGTATTTTTCCTGATTCATGTCTCAAAAAGTACTAGAGGCCATGTCTGTCGGTTGTCCTTCTTTCTCAAGTTGCCATGCCAACAGACACTGATAATAAAAACCTGGGCATAAACTAAGTCAAGCGTTTGTTTGGTGACACCGTGCTCAAAACCATTCTCAATGTAGCCGAACTATTGACCTGAATATTGAATTTGTCAGTAAGCAGTAGCAAGAAAGCTTACAGCGAATACTTGATACTGAAAAAAAAAAAAAAGCTTCAAACAGCTCATCGCTTATAAAGAAGCCTTGAGGTCTACTGCTGGTCTGAAATCGGCAGCTCAACTTGGCTAGACTAAACAACCGGCCTTAAGTTTCTTACGAATCGTTTCTTATTTCTTAATGGACGTGTTCCGTCGATGTCATCAACAGACTTTGGCTTTAAGCATACCGTACAACGTTCTGTCCAAATTTGGTTAAATAAAAACAACTTATCTTGATACATAAACTCCTCATTCTTCCTGACAACAGCCGGTCTAAAAAGAAATTATCATGAGCTCTTTAAGTTGAAGAAGTTAGTAATTGTATAAAAATTATTAAATAATTTCCAGAAAAATCGTTGCTTTTTTTAAATGCTATTTCATTGCTAAATGTGTAGGAAATCGCTAAGTTCTACTAAATTTAGTAGCGAATAAAAATAGAAACCTTTATCGGCCATTAAGTTAGGTACATCTACAGCATTCTGATATAGGATAAATTCACCTAAACATGATCTTTCTTTTACTAACAAGAGACACTAGTTTTCCAAAGCAGAAAAAAAAGTAGGAAAGTGATTAAGTATGGAGACTTTGACGTTGTTGGCATGACAGCTGGTTTATATCCAAGAGGCATCAAGGAGAAGTGAAAATATTCAGTATTTATTGATTCAGACAATTCTAGATGATAGAAGCTGACTGTTGTAAACAGAATCAATTAAAGCTTTTAGTGATCCAGGCAGGTAGTAGACACTTTGCTTTCTCAATAAAACATTTGGAAAAACTCCACTCATTCGAACATCTTACAGACAACATAGCTTGAAAATGATAAAATTTCAAGTTTAAAAATGTCGAAAATTTGGTTTGATATTAGCTTCTGCTGATTTTTCCATATACTAGAAACGTCTGTTGGACTTAGTGAGGCGCGGTGTCTGCTACAAATCTCTGTAAGATTCTTTGACTTAGTTACGACACAAGTCTCCAAAACATACCAACAACGATATTCACTAAAATCAGTGCTCTGCACAAAAATTTCAAATATTGCACCCTAGTGTTGGATTTTGTTTTTTTCGAAAAACAAAGACTGTACTGGTATCTGGCTATCAGTACTCCAAAAATAATATCCATATCTTGTGACTTTAATCATGAAAAAATTTCAAACCCACTCGCGTAGTGCATTCTTAATGAATAACAATAGTTTTCCTCGAACACCTCCAGAGAAAGGAAATGTTATTACGTTAAAATGGCTCACTCCCCATCCTGACGGAAGGACATACGTAAAACAACTTATAAACAAATAAAATTGCAAAACACTGCCAACTACGGTGGAGACATAACGGAACCTCTCCTTTTGAAACTTTGTCACCCGTGCCACAAAATAGACAACTGTTTTGGTGTTTTCTTTGAACACGATTTATACAGAGGAAATTATTATTTCTCGGAAGAGCTGAGGGCGTTGTGTAACATTCATCTAAAATAAACTGCAGCGATCATAACAAAGTTTAATCTTGTAGATTGGATGTAACAACGAGGATCACTTAAATAACTGAGTAAAATATATCTAATCTGACATCACTAAAGTATTGGCCACGCTCGGATAAGTTTGTTCAATACTGCTTTTGTTGTTTTCTGCTTCCATATATGAGAAAACAAACGACGAAGTGTGGGATGGCTGGTGCCCCAAAAGAATTAATTTGTGTCTGATTGCAGTTTCATACCGTTTTGGGTTATTTGGCTGTCTGCAAGACTGATATGAAGTTACTGCCACACCGCGCCAAGGGGTTGCTGTTATGAAGCTAGCATAAATAATTAAACTACACAATCACAATACGCAATCACTGTTTCATGTCGCCTGCCATATGGTAATTTGTGCTCCAGTCTAGGTGGACGCTTTTCGGTAATTTGTCGTTATAATCAAGAAACGTAGAGCAGCACACATTCAGCCAATGTTATCCTTTGATTACGCCTTCCCATTTTGTTTGAGAACCTTATCACAATGATGTCATCCCAGACAGTCGATGTTTAACAAAAGGCGCTCCAACCAACCACTATCTTACGCCTTTAAATTAAATGTGGGTTTTCTTTCTACACTTTTAGGTTTCACGAATCTCGTGAATTATTCAGTTTACAAGTCGTTACCGTTTAATTAAGAGAACTTCTAAACGAATGTCATCATTGTGAAGTGGCTTCTGTTCAACTACTCTCCAATCAGCCGCAAAATGACCGCAATGTCACAAGTCAGCATGCACAATTTTTTTAAACTCTCAACGATGTGTGACCACAATTTCATCGGTTTATTGCACACAGTAATCGATACGAATTCAGCAAACACCATTATCGGAAAAAACCCTTTTATGTATGGTTTTTCGGTTTGTGGAAACTAACCAAATATTAGTTTGTTTCCTGGGCACGACTGAATATTTTTAGAGTGCTATTTTGAATTCGGTTGTTAGCAATAATTCCAGCGTGGCTGCTTGCACTGTTGGCTAATGTCGGGCGTGCACGTGAACAATATAGTGGGCGGCTATATAGTCACAAATGAACCACTTGGATACTTCAGTAATCAGTGCAACATTCACTCCAGCCACATCGGACTGACGATTAGCCCATGACTGCAACAACCTTCTAGTACCAACGATATCCCGCAGAGAACTCAGATGAATTGCTTCAACTTTATTTTACTTTTAGTGTGCTTTACGCCAGTATCACTACAAAATGGAGCGGAGATTACTAACCTCCAAGGCGACTTGTTGAACTTGTTAGAGATAAAGGAAAAGCCGAGCGTGTCAAGAAGTAGGTCTCAGGTACCGAAATATGTGATGGACCTTTATAAGGAACAAGCTCACACGACGGGCTTCACTAAGTTTGGCAAATCTGCTCCTGGGAAAACCATACGAACCTTCTTCAGAGGTACGTAATTATTCTCGCTAATACAGAAGCTTGCATTGAAGAAACCTACATGAGTAGATTATTGAACTGCATGAATATTATGGTAATTTGTAACGTTGTTAACCTCGTTATTTATCACTGCAGACACGAGTGTCAGCGACGACAAGAGTCGCTTCTACTTCAACTTATCGTCGCTTAAACCCAATGAACAAATAGAGAAAGCAGAGCTCAGATTATTTAAAAGACGTTCTAAGCTGGAGAACACTCATGGACATTTTAAGGTGGTAGTGTATCGTTTGAATCGCCGACCTGTTGAAGGCAGCATAAGCTGGAAGAAAAAGCTGACTACAGTGGCTACCAAACATGTTAAGTGTCGCCGAGTTGGCGGCTGGATCGTCTTGAACGTCACATCAGCGGTGTCGTTTTGGAGTTCTTGGCCATCACGGAATTTCGGTTTGTTGATCTCAGTCAAAGGAATTGGAATTCCAACTTCGGATTTCTACATAGCAACTGGTGGTAGGAAAGAGCCGATCCTAGTCATTTACGGAGGTGACAAGGACAAATCGCCAGGACCTTTTAGTGAGATTCCGAACGAAACAAGGCCTAACGGCGAAGACAGACACAACAAAGGTAAAGGAAAAAACAAGCAAGACACTTCTGGCATGCTGAACAGAAGGCGCAGATCTGTGGGGGACGATAGCTGTGCGAGACATAAACTATTTGTGAAATTTCGTGACTTAAACTGGGACAAATGGATTATAGCGCCTCGAGGATTCAGCGCTTATTACTGCATGGGTGCATGTCCAGAAATCATCGATAAATATTACGATCCATCAAACCACGCCATTATACAAAACCTACTGCATCATCGATTGAATAAGAAAATTCCTGCAGCTTGCTGTGTGCCAACAAGTTTAAACTCTATGAGTTTAATGTATTTCGAACTGGATGGAAGCATTGTGCTCAAAGAATACTCTGGCATGGTGGCGTCGACGTGTGGCTGTCGCTAAAAGAGTTTATAGTTTACCAAAAAACCTCGTCTGTAAATGTCAGTCGATTTAAAGTGAAAGCACAGAGAACAAATTAAGTGTCAAAGAACATATTTATATTGATAAAAGGTGTTTCGCACCCTAACACGATATCGGAATATAGTGAATCAGTTAAAGTAGAGTATTATTGTGACCCGAGGCAGGTTAATCAAAAGATTGACAAAGTCAAACATTTTTTTCAGAATAGTCAGTCTTGCTCGGGTCGTGTAACACGCTAGCTAAAGTTCGTTTGTACCACACAACTCTTCCGTCGGTTTACGAAAATCATCTGTTGACGAAGAGTATAGAGGAGCTATAAATGGAACAGTGTAACCTATTAAAAGTATGACCGATAACTAGCCTGGAGCGGCTGCTACTGTTCAAAGACAATTTTATTTATTTCCGGTCAGGCACTGAGCCGATGTCTATTTCTTCTTGAAATTTGCATTAATTTCAGACTTATTATATCACGCTTCTGTAAGCATGAGTTTAATAAATTTCAACCCAGCAAAAAAGAGTGTCCCGCCATCACGTACTAAGACTAACAGCTCATATTCCTTTTGGTATTCTCCAATAATTGCGCTAAGCACTTCACCATGTTGTCTAAATCAGTTTGCCAAAAAAAATTTCAAGTTCTCACATTGTTAAAAATATTTGTACTTGAGAATGAAGAGTAAATTGTTGACTTAGGAGGCTTGTCGTTTGACGTCTTATTGGTGACTAAACTAATATTGGAACAGGATGAAAAAAAAAAGTTAAGTTACAAAAAAACGTGGGAAGTGTTAAAAATAGAGCTTTCCCTTCCTTGTGGATTGGAATATAGGGTTTTCCGCTCTCTAACGATAACTTACAGGTTAACTTCATTACAGCGGAGGAAAATCGTGATAGGTTCATGTTTTTTCTAAGAATGCAGCTCACAGAAAAAGTAGTGGCAGTTTTTCAACGACTTACAGCACAAACGTCCTAACAATACTTCAGAGCTGCATAAACATACTTGTCACTGTTTATTGAACTTTCATTCTCGAAATAATTCCAGTATATGGTATTTTCTCTTCAGTTTACTATAAGAATTATTAAACAAATAGTAGCTGTTGTGTGTTAGTAAAAATAGATGGCCTTGCCTTGAGCATTGTCAATCGACAACACAAAAGCCTTTTCTTCTTGCACTAACCATGCATGGCTGCACGCATAGCCCAGCTAACTCAATTGTTTCCAAAGAAAGATGTGCTCTTCTCATTAGTGCTGATTTTATATTCAACAACTTAAACCCAAATGTTGTTTGGGGGACCTTGATATAAAAATTGGCATGCATACTTATCTTTCACTTCAGAAGAAAAATTTGAATCAAAGGAAGAATGGATTCAAGTCACTGCAATCGCAAAAGAGCGACTAGTTGAGTTGTAATTTATCCAATCTGTAAGGAATATCCAAACTAAAGATAAGATGAATTTCAAACTCAGACTATTGAAGGAAGAACTTTAGCATTTTGAAAAGTTACGTTAAAATAACTTTGTTTAAATAGAACAATTTCCCCTGGATTGACAGAGAAGTGAGTATTTATCAACAAGATATGCGCCATAGTAACTCAAAAGCACTAATGAAAATAAAAACCAGTACTTGAGGTTAGTGCCTTGTGGTGCCAGTGGACCTTGAAGTTACTCTTGGTAGCAAACATATTCACGCAGTTGATCGCTTTATTTGGACGATGTCAAAAGGGTCAAGAACAGACTAGACGACAGGCGCCTGCAGCAACAAAGTTACGCTACTACTGTCTCAAGAAAATTGAAGAAAAGTGAGAAGCGTGATTGTAAGAGAAGCATTTTCCTCAACACTCTACTGTCAAATACGAGAACACTTGTGAGCATTCAAGCCTGGGGGCACTACTTAATGGTATCGGCAACACCAGATTAACTTGGAAGATACGGGCACGAAACTTAAAGTCTTAGAAGTAAGGTTTTTGTACTATAAAAGATGTCACAATATGAGCATAAACTCACTGACAATTGGTAAAGCCTAAGGAATTAGAGATATTGGTAGCTTAATACAATATACCTGCTAATTGCATTTAGCCACACTATTAACATAACGACGCGTATAGCCTAACAGTACAAATAACTGTAGTGACTAACGTCAAAGAAGACAAGACATGTATGGGAATGTGAAATTCTCTGTGATAGTGCACTCGTAAACAAGAGCAGTTAACACTAATTATTATGTCCTTGTTGAAGGAAGGTTGCGGGCATACGAGTCCCGAAGGTCAAAAAGTTATGTTTTAGTTAACTTAGGTAAGTGTTGATCATGTCCTTGTTGAAGGGAGCTCGCTGAGTCCTCGTTCAGTGGTGGCCAAGTCCTGAAGATCATCTTTTATGATGGTTATAAGGTGCATCAGGCCTAACTGTTGACGCTCAAGATGCTGCAATAAACAACACGTGTTCACAAAAAATTTTATACAAAATTACTACAACGCCAGCATATATAGACCAGAACAACTGCAACTTAAATGTGAAGTTTAAGTTGACTCAAACACATGACATGATCTTGAGCTGTGTAAGGTACAAGCAGCAACTTTAGTCAGGCAATAACACAAAGCCCTTAACAAAACTCCAGCTCAGTAATATCAAGAACACAACAGTTGCAATCATCTTGTTAAATAACAATTAAAACTGAAATTATTGCTAGCAATCTCATGACCTCTTTATAATTGTTTTCCTGTTTATTTGGAAATCCCGCAAGGCACAATTATCGCCTTGAGAGTTTTATCGATTCTGAAGTTATTATTATTTTTTAAGCATTACGAAATCAAACTTAATGTAGTAGGGGTGTGTATTGAGCACTGACACTGAATTTGGTTAGATTGGTAAAGTCACTATTTCGCATTCAACCTAACATCACCACTAACCGCATCGACCTACGCTTCACATGAAATCTTTCCTTATATTCCTAGACTTAACACCAAGACGCACGATTTATATTGTGTGCAAATGGGATTCAGTGCCAACTTGATAATTGCTGTAATATGCAGTGTCTCTTGTCATCAAAGAACAATAAAGCAGAATACAGTTAAGTATACACAATACCTGAGCAAAGTAGAGAACGGAGCATATAAGGGAAGGGGAAAGCAGAATGTGGCAGAAAAAAGCAGAGTTTGGGGTAGAGTAGGGTAAAGTGAAAGAGAGAAATGTAACGTATAGCGAAGTAGAAGGTAGTAGGAGAAAAAGCATAGACTTAGTCAAGCCGAGCACACTGAGTGAAATGATTTCCCATACTGACCTTTCTTCCTTCCACCCCTCTCTGGTGCAATATCGAATAACGCAGAGAGTTACATGAATGACTAACCGTCTGCCTGGCGCAGGCCAGTGAAAGCGCCGTGCAGTATTTTTTGCCTCTTTGGGCCCTTACCTTATTGTTCACTCAGCAACAATCATTCTTCTTATTTATGTTTGTTTATGTCTGAAGTCCTAGATAAATATATGTTATATGACGGGTTCAAGTTATTTATTTTTAAACATTGAGGGAATATTGGTGTTAAACTCTCTCACTTGTTTAAGTTGGTCCTGAACAGCGCCTTCCACAACATATCTGCCGTCCGCTCGCGCCAGTCTTTCTCCAACTTGGCTCTGCCGTAAGCGGATCTGTGACATCATCTCATTTAAACGAGCCTATGAAAACAAGGCGGTATTTTCACGGTGCTGGATGTACACTCAATTATCAAAAGCGAAATTTTATAAAGCATCCAAGAGAGAACTTCCAGCACAATAGCTTGGAATTTATTTGCAGCCGTTTCAATACATCAAGACAAACGACTTGATCAAGATGAGATTTTTCAGACCCAGGGAATTCATGCCGAAGAAAGGAAAAACTGCGGCAAAGAGTTTAATTTTACACGGTAAACTAAGTAATGACAGCCCAACAACACCTAACGGGTATAAAACTACCAAGTATCCCTTTACGGCAGAACCTTTCAACCTGGCCGATTTATACTCGCTATGTGTTTCCTGACTCCTCGTAAACCTCTTTCAAAGGAGCCCGAAGCGCGAGGGACCATGGGTAGTACCCCGATCATATCGATCTCTATTCCATACCCTGATGATAGGATGCAGTCTTTGTTTTGTGATCATTCCATGATCCCCAATCCATATCTTATCAATAATTAGTAGATTCACTGTTAATGATACTTCCACTAACACTGAAATTTGCACTAATGATTGAGTTGTAACACTAGCGGTGTGAATTTTCGGTGCAAATGTTATCATACAGCATATACACTTGTGACAATTTGATGTTTGGGCTAGGGATTAATTTGCTGCGGACTTGCCTTGAATTGAGAAGGTGCATTCAACTCCGCCTGCAGGTATTCAAGTTGTACTCTAACGTTAAAGAATAAAGAAACAAGTTGAAGGGAATGAAAGCGAAACACTAAATAATTAAGGCAGTTTCCTATAAAGGATTTTTCCTTTCAAAATTTTTAAAAACTTGGTATAATTGATATCCACGCACCAGAAATTGGAGAATACATGAAAAACAAAGAGTTACCGCATTTTGTTGCTCTACATGTTCTTTAATGAATTGCGTAAAAATGTTTCAACCTGGAACCGGAAAAATTGGCTTACGTGGTGAAAATTTGTTTGATTTTACTAATATCCAGAGCCTCTATGATATTCAGGGCCATAGTTTTGCACTCAGGTGACGCCAAATCACCACTTTGTCCAAATAATGTAAGATTGGACCCGTAGGTCATTATCTTAAACTCCTTCCTGACTCATAATATAATACAATAGTCAGGGGAGGTGGGGTGGGGGTGTGTCAACGTACAAGTTTCAGAAAAGATAAAGATGTTTCTTCCTTGACGAACCATAAATAAAACTGCCATTTTTACACACAAGTGTCAAAGACTCCCTCCACTAAAAATGGTATATGCCTTAAAACTGACCTGAGCTGTTCCTCGTCTGCCTGTACTGAGTAGCCACTCTTCCGAAGACATTCCTGTTTTATCATAACCTAATTTTTACAAAAACGTTTATATTTCAACATTGACAGGTTACGTACATATAAGAGAATACAATTTTCCCTAGTAAAGAGATGACTAGGCAGGCTAGGCGGAACGAATCTTTGTGCGTAATAACCTTTCCTCTACATTCGGCCTTTGTCCCACTCTTTAACGTTTCGACAAAAGAGATGTATCTCCGGTAACATTTTATTTTCCGCGTTCAACTCCATACCAATTACACTTTTACGCACGAAAATTCGTCAACGCCAAAAACTGGTGTCAGCTATTTTCTCCTCTCAATCTCATCTGAGAAAATAGATTACGTCTCTGGTATGTAAATATGAACCAACCTTCTTGTGGCAACAGAAGACAACTCTGTTATAATTTATACAATAAACTGAATCCTACACGCACTTTAATTGGGTTCTAACTTTTGATCTATTGGACAGACGCATAGATGACTTCACCATTTACAACATTTTGTTTCTTTATCATCTAAAACAAATAGACTCCACGTTGCCGCGATTCTGTAAAGTAAGCGATGACATATGTCAAAATGTGTTGAGAACATCAGTAATACGCTTGTTCTGACCACATTATGACGTCATCCCTTATCTATTGCTGGACAGACTCTCGGCAACATTGAAGAGGACACGTTTGACATAACCCGGTTTACAGCCAAGTATCCGACCATTTTGTTCTCACAATTGAACCTTTTTCACGCACAAATAAGATTTAACGAATTTTTCCGTAAAATGAACGGGTTGTCATAAAGATTGTATGACTTACACTGTCGGTAATAAACTGTACGACCTACACTGTCGGCGATAAACTGTATGACCTACACTGTCGGTAGTGAACTGTATGCCCTACACTGTCGGTAATAAACTGTACGACCTACACTGTCGGCAATAAACTGTATGCCCGACACTGTCGGTAATAAACTGTATGCCCTACACTGTCGGTAATAAACTGTATGCCCTACACTGTCGGCAATAAACTGTATGACCTACACTGTCGGTAATAAACTGTATGCCCTACACTGTCGGTAATAAACTGTACGACCTACACTGTCGGTAATAAACTGTACGACCTACACTGTCGGTAATAAACTGTATGACCTACACTGTCGGTAATAAATTGATACAATTTAGTTACTGTTTTCACTTTTTCTTAGTTTGGTAAAAAGTTCCCCGCAATGATAAATTTACGTCAAATTGCATCCTGCAGTTCAATATCTGTTTCTTTTTTGGGATCCACTTAAAATCTTGTATCATATTAACAAGATCCGTGAAGGTGACGACATTTTTGATGCATGAACAGTATCATTGTTCGTGCACGATCATTATCATTACCATAATAATCACTTTTCAATTTCCCCATCCTAAGCCATCTTCGTCCTATCTTGATTTAAATTTGTCCTTTGTCTCTTATCTTTTCTTTCTACGGCCTTCATGTTTTAGAAAATTAGTTTTGCATGTCAAAAAAATTGACTTAGTGACTTAGATCATTTCAAATCAACAATTTGTACTTAACAACAAGAATAGTAAGCACTCTTTGTCTCAGTTTAATGCGACAGAAAAATTTTTCAAAGAGTATCTCCTCCCTGCGCTTTAAAAAAGCATTTTTAACGAAATTTAGAGATCACCAAATACCATGAATCACTTGTAAGCAGAAAACCTGTGAATGATCAGTGTTGAAAACTGAGCTTTTCTTTAAGGTCTGGATAGCAGCAGATATGTCACGAATCAAAGAAAATTTACAACATTTTATTAAACTATGTTTCAATAGTTTCTTTACCATTGAAGGAAAGTATAGGTTTGTATTCACCTTGAGTTGTGAATTTCGAATTAAATGTGACTTGGATTAAAAGCTTAGTAAGAAGCATCTTACCTCCAGTATGCGGTGACTTAATTCTAGATGTTTTCTTTTAAATTGTGCCAGTTTAGCCATGGTTGTGCCGTGATTATGTTGTAACTCTGCAATCTCTTCGCGTATAAGCTGAAGGAAAAAAAAGAGAGAGTAAAAATGCCATAATGGTCGAAAGAAACTGATATAGCCAGCCTGCTTTACTTGCCAACATGATGAATACGAATCTAACAAGAAACAAACAATTGACAGAAACTATTTCTGTTGTGGTGAGTGGCAAGTCATCCTTTGGGAAAAGTTTACTAGTTGAGAATAAAAAGAAAGCCGATCAAATAAAAAAAGCAGAAACTAATAACAAGACTTTGATGAGGCATGTAATTTACTAAAACAATATGTCAGCCAAGACTGCTTCATCTATACTTATTGACTGAGCATGAAATATGCAAATCGTTTCCAGTAGTTTAATTGTTCAGGAGAAAACTAAACCAGCACATCAAATATTTTGACAATTATTCTCGAAATACATGCAGAAACATACTGATTACTTATCATACACACAAGCCATCTAGTTGAAGCTTTGATTCTAAGAGAAAAAAGACTCAAAACTTAACCACATTATAAAAAATAATGATAAAAAATAATAAAAATGCGACGACTGAGTCATTTCAGATAATAACCTGCTTACAGAATGTTCCAAACCGACATGCACTGAAGCTTTTTCCAAATAGAATTTCTATTTTTTCCTTATATAGAAAAGGACAAGAAGTGAAATGCACTGTTTAACTTCCTAAGTAAACAAAGCGAACCCTTCCCCTTGGTTACAATGTCAAGTTACTGAGAAATTTGTTAACTCACAGAGAGACGCTTGTGATGCTGTAACGTTTCCTGTTCTTGAAGCTTTTGGCGTTTTTTCAGTTCACTAAATCCTGTGATTGCCATCGGAATCAACCTTGAATGTAATTGACAATATGCGATTATTACATTTCAGAGGATTTGTTAGGGGAGTTACATAATTTCCCCTGTCCAACTGATGATTGGTCACTTTAACGCCATCAATCATTTTTTGCCTTCTATCGAACAGACTTGCAGAATAACGGACATCTTCCACAGCTGTGGAAGTAGTTATTCCACACAGGTTGGTGTTGTTAGTTATATGTACAATAGATGTAAATTGATACCTTTCAGGATCTGGATTGTCCTTTTTCGCTTGCTCCCACAGCAAGGAGTCTATTCCTATGGGAAAATGATCATACATGTATAATGCAGCAACTTTTACCTCACCAAGTCATTTTTCATCAGGTGTCTCACAGAAAAAAATGATCATGACCAGCATACTCACCAAATTGAAATATGACGTCCAATTTGAATTACCATTGTTTTGGACTTACTAGCCTCGTCTTGACGTGGAAACACAAAAGGATTATCGCATGACTGTGTGAGAGGCTAGTAAGTCCAGAACAATGGCAATTCAAATTGGACGCCTTATTTGGATTTGGTGTATTGTAACGATCATGACCAGCATTATAATGAGCAGAATTGTAACGATCATGTCATCACCATCATCAATAGGTGCACAAGACAATGACATCCAGCCTTGCCCTACATACTCTGATTTACTTAGCTAACTTGTACAAATGATATGGCTGCTGCAGTAAATTAGCAACCTTACCATTTATAAATTCCTAATACTTGGATGGACACTTCTTTATTCTTCAAATTTTGAGCAATTTTATGTTAACTCTTTAATCTGTGGCACTCTTTCTTTTGAGTACAATATGATAACTGTAAAGCTGACACTGAGTCTGAGTAAGTTGCATGAATGCTGATGATTAGGAATACAAATTATGGAAACATAAAATTAATATACTATTTAGTTACACACCAACAGGAGGGTTGTCCAGGTATTGTTGCAGTTGAGATGGGGACAGGCTTGTTTTCAATAACACATTGACAACTCCAAGGCTATTCAGCTGAGCCTGAAAATGTGTTTAAGATTTAAGGGATCAATCATCCATTTAAATTCCTTGCAAAATTTGTCGTAACAAAACGTATTCCAAGACTTAAAACAACATTAAGCAGAACACTCCTTCTGCAACACTTCAAGACAATCATTGTTAAAATAAATAGCTCATAGTATGCACTGCCAATCTTAGACAATAAAATGGTTGATATGCAATGATTGTTTTCTGGTTGAGTATGGTCAGTAGTCTTTCAAATGTTGTGTGATAGGCCCCCCAAAAAAGACGAGCAGTGAACCTTTCTGCATTACTGACAACTACTCCCTAAGTATGCTTTATTGTTTGCCTACGACTTGCCAAGTGTAATTTTCAATAACATCCAGTACATACTCATAACACTATGAATTTCATTGGTGAGGGAAGGAAGGAAACCTTAAGTCTATTACCTTAATGGTGGCCTGATTGAGATGTGAAAAGACATCTGTGGCTGGTATAGTTCTAGAGGAACCATTTGGATGTCTCTCGACAACATACATCACCACTTCAGACCTGATGAAAATGCAGCAAACAACAAACATGTACCTCGTGCATTCTGTGCACTGGCTTGGAGTACTTACTAAACTACTACTCATAGGTCATTATGAAACAGCTGCTTGTGTATGAGCCTACATGAGGCACATGACCATACAATGTACATTCATAATGCAGTGTGTCCTTAGATCAGAAAACAACTGAAATCACTGTAATAAGGTTATCGTTCTTTCTTGTTCTGTGCAGTGAGTGCTTTTGATGTTTGGTTATATCAACTAAGTTGAAATTGTAAATTGGCCACCGTAACGAATAAAAAAGCTGACGTTTTGAGCATTAGCCCTTCATCAGAGCGATGATGTTGATTGCTACTCTAGGTAGTACCACAGACATGCATCTAAAAGTAGTTGGTGGCATTTAGCTCAGTTCATTAGTTCAGTAGGTATGAAAGCAAGGTAAAACCAAAAAGGTTATGTAGTTTACCTGTCATCTGGCAGAGGTTTTATGCCATCAATACAAACCATAATGGTAGGTTTACTTCCAAGACACTTGTGAAGTCCATCTACAATCCCTTGCTGTATAGCACGAACATCACTTTCTTTCTTCTTTATTTCAAGAGATAAATGGCCATCCTCATTACAGGCCATAGGGAGACGACTGTAGCCTACAACCTTTAAAATAAATCCATCAAACATGGTGCAAGTTATACATCCGTTTGGTATTATATGATAAGCTGAAACCTTTGTCCCTGTTATGCAAATCTTCATAGATACCCAGTATTAAGGAGAATCCAAGATCCAGTCTCAACAACAATGCTAAAGGTGCACTGCAGGCTTTAAAACCTCTGCTTAAGGACTAGACCGGAACATCTTATTTAAACCCTGGCATTCAGTCTGGGCAACATATCCCAGGTCTTACAATTTCTTATATTTTATTTTTGTTTTCTTTCTTTCTTTCTTTCTTTTTTTTTTTGCTTTTTTCAACAAGGAGGAGTTCTTATTAGTGACCCTGAAAACTTATGACATCCAACAATCAGGCAGCTGCCAAGAGTTAGAACCATCTTTGAAAACAAAGAATTAAAATGAGAGAATCTCTCTAACACCTCTTCCTACATCACACCATCTTGAAAATGAACTCCGAAATTTTACGAACCAACAGCCTTTGCTTACTGGCCCTGATTGAAGTGGATTCATAATAAATTCATGTATAGTCAAACTTAAATGTTTTGACTTATAAACTTATAAACAGACCCAAACTGTTCCTTGTGAGGCACTTCTTACCTTAAAGTGACAAAATGGATTTTGTGGTGTGAAGTCAACTGCACTTTGTTGGTTGTAAAACCCCTTTCCAGTTCCCCAATATGCTTGTAACTGGTTCAACTTGGCAATAATGCCATCTCTTTCGTCACCATATATCTGAGGCTGAGATAAAGCAACAGCCAGCTGGGCTAAGGGTGCCACTTGTTGGTTAGGTACTGGCTGGTTACTCTGCTGTGAAAATAACCCTGATAAAAAATACATAAAAAAGTCAAAAGACAAGTTTTGAAGAAGTGGAGTACCAGATATCTAGTTTATCTTTCATAATCTTTAAAAGTTGCAAGATTATACCTACACTTGTAACAATTCTTTGTTGCACTAAACGTGCAACAAAAAATCATAGAAAGTTACTTTGTCAATGTTCAATTGTTTTGAAAAGTTAAAAAACAGCACCTGTTGCAGGTTGACCAAAGGCTGTAGAGCCAAGTCCTTGTGTTGTTCCAAAACCAGTTGTAAGAGTCCCTCCTAAAGATGGAGCAGATGAAGTGACTGCTGATCCAAAACCTGATAGCAAATACACTTTAATTAGCTGAACAGTTTCATACTGAATGTTGTATGCTATCAAAGAACAAAATTATTTCAGTCTTGTACAATGTTTTGGAACACTATTTCCATTTGCCTAATAAAGAATAAAATATACAATAATTTCTGGCTGTTTACTCATGGGTAATCTGTTGATTTTGCCTTAAACAAATGCCACTGGGTAATAGGGAGGTGCAGGTTATGTGACAATTTTGAAATCTGCTGGTAGTTGAATTGAAAAAAATTCTCACCTAACTGTGTTTCCACCTCTCAGATGAATTTTATTGTAGTAATAAGAATGCCACAGAGTGGCACGAAAACATGATGCCGAGTCAAGTTTATTTCATGCATAATTAGTTGCGCGACGAACAAATTTTTATCGACACGCATGTAAACAAAACCTTGATGGCGACAAAAATAAACCAAGGATAACTGGCACACCAGTAACAAATTTCCAGTTAATACTAGCTTGAGCTGAAGAGAATTTTCCCATTTTTAATGACTTGTTAGGCCCAGTAGAAAGGGAGATATTGATTTTTTCAAGAAATCAACAAATCAACATGGCACTGAACGATCGTTCATTCAAAATGTGGCCACAAATTCGCATTCTGTCAAGTATGAAACGTTGTGAATTCTAGAGCATTTTTGTACAAATTTCTTTTGCTTTTAAGATGCCGGTTATCCACTCGTGCGGGTAATCTGTTGACCTTTTTTTTTCGCTGCATGCAATAATTGGCCGGTGTGGGTAATGGGCTGTGTGGGTAAACAGCCAAAAATTATGGTAATATCCTCTCATTGATCCTTGAATTGTTCAAGCCTAGTACTTAACTCAAACTTTGACTGTACAGCACAAACCAAGATTTGGTAGTTACGAAAATGAAGACCCCGAAAATAAAGACGTAAGACCCACTACAAAAACGAAGACCCATTACAAAAATGAAGACCCCCCGTGAAAACGAAGACCCATTACAAAAACGAAGACCTATTACAAAAACAATAAAAACAATAAAGCAATACAGAAACAAGACACCTGAATTATTTGCCGGCAAAAACCACAGGGAGTAATAGTGTGAAAACAGGTACCTAAGACCCTCTACAAAAATGAAGACCCCCTATGAAAATGAAGACCCATTACGAAAACAAAGACCCATTATGAAAACAAAGACCCATTATGAAAACAAAGACCCATTACGAAAATGAAGACCCATTACGAAAATGAAGACCCCCTACAAAAACGAAGACCCTCTACGAAAACGAAGACCCATCACAAACACAAACACACAAAGACACATAACTAAAACACCATTACTCCCTGTGGTTTTTGCCGGCAAAGAATTCAGGTGTCTTGTTTCTGTATTGCTTTATCATTTTTTTTGTTTTAATTTTTCCGTAATGGGTCTTTGTTTTCACAATCAGGGCTCGACACTAATGGTAGCCCACTAGCCACAGACTAGTAGAAATTCAGTTTTGGCTAGTGGTTTTCAGTTTCCACTAGCCAGTTTGGCTAGTAAACAGACTGAAATTGTAGTAACATCTAAAAACATCTAAGATGTCACTAGCCACTTGGCTAGTAAGTTGAAAAGTTAGTGTCAAGCCCTGGTAATGGGTCTTCGTTTTCGTAAGGGTGTCTTCGTTTTCGTAATGGGTCTTCATTTTCATAGGGGGTCTTAGGTCTTCATTTTCGGGGTCTTTGTATTTGTAACTACCCTAAGATTTCATGCCTGTTAAAATCTTAAAATGTTCTTATAATCTCATTCACCCGATCTAGTTTCTCACTTAGTTAGGTTTTAAAACAAACAAGTAAAATACCCTTTACCGATGTGCAATGCAATTGTATGCCAGGTGAGTCACAGGCCAGTGGATTGTGAAAATTGGTCATGTGCACACAGGACAATTTTTTATATCTCTAAGAAGAAGTTCATGATTGTCTCTCCATTTCACTTGCAATTTCTATCGAATTAAATTTCAACAAAAAAAAGGCAAAGACCTGAAAAAAGTTCAAAAACATATTTGCATCACTAACCACCCCGCATAATAATGGGAGAAGAAATAATCTACGAATATACCTATAGTAGAAGAGGCGGTAGTCTTTGCACCGAAACTAAACACTGAACCTGTCGTTGTAGGTACTGCACCAAAGCTGGCAGCAGTATTGGTACCAAAGTTCGTTGTGCCAAATAATGGCTTATTTGCCGTATTTCCCTGTTGACTCGATCCAAAGGTACTAAACCCTATAGCTGTGCTAGAAGGAGTTCCAAAAGAAAACCCCACACCTGTGGAGGGTTGACTGACAGCACCGAACAACGACATTTCTTCAAACGAAAAGTAGAAAATGCCAGGCGTTCAAAGACACTTGGAATCTGGAACCTGGAACCTACCAGCCAACATGTATGTCATGTACGGAAACATACAGTGTGCTCTTTGTACACACGAAATGAGAAAAATCCGTTGTGCTACATTAATATACATGGATGACGAAGAGTTAGAAAGGTAAGACTGGCCCTTGTGTAACTACTTTCGTTTCCTTCTGTATCGCTTTTTACAGTTAGCCTGTAGTCACTTTGTAGTGAAAGGAGACTATCACTTTTATCACATAGAAATCACAGAAATAACCATCTCAATGATTGGCAGATCACAGCAGAAAGCTTTATAATGTAAAATAGAGATCCAACTTCAACAAATAGCAACTATGCAGCTAAACTAAACGATAAATACCAACCATGCAATTAATTCCGGCATGGTTCAATTGGAAATAGAAAATATCACCTGGTTGAAAGGGAAACTTGTTAGTTCATCAGCACTGGAAGGAGTATTTTTTGCATTTCAAGTCAGTTCATGCCACAAGACTGGCATGACTCACGCCATGATTCCTTACGAACAGGAAAAGCATTTTTTTGTTAAAATGCTACCTACAGTGAGTGAGTGCCCAAAAACTCAAGCCTCTTTGGTTCCCTCAGGGGGGAGGGCAGGTGCCTATGAGATGCAAGGTGATGGTGGGTTTTAATTTCTTTTTTTTGTGGCTATGTTGCCCAATCATGGAGTGGCATTGGTGTCCACAGAAGCTGCAGGGGTGGGAGTGGCCAGTGGGTGTGTAAGTTTGGGGTCGTTTTCAGCATTGGCAAAATATAAGTTATGAACTACTAAGTGAGTATAATTTAACCTCTAGCATATAAAATGTGGATAATTCAATGAAAAAATGAAATCACTATAATTAATTACCAATTGTTGGAATGCCATGGTCTCAATTTTGGCCACTGTGAAAATTATGTTAATCACTGTGTATTGTCTGCTAATGAGGAAAGTTTTCTGAGAAAACTTAGTAAAATGCTTCTGTGTTTTTTAACCATGATTAAAACAGAGATTTGTGTTAAATGATCAAAGAAACTGGTGTTATCAGGGAAATCTTCATCCCCCTGGGTAATCTAGTATTTTAAAAAAAGAAAAACAGGAGTAAAGGAACATATATGTTAGATACAATGAAAATATATGAAGTTCATATATTAAGAACTGCGGTATTAGATACGTATGATGCACGATCCTCGCAGTAGATAG